CAGAGAGGAGTAACCTACACTCCATGCCAGGGGAGACTTTTTCAGACAGGGGACCGATTGCAAGATCAAATCCAGTTGACTTTGAGTTGTTTCCGACTTTGGACAGTCAAGATGTGTCAAGAGTAGAACAATGTTCTGTAAGGGTTTCAGTAGATCAGGCCTTGTACTTTTTGATAGACCAGACACTTGAACTTGCAACCTTTTGGTTAACAGCTGAGTTAACAGTGGGCATTTGCACACCCAAGGGCTCCTCTTTGCTAGGTCGGACTAAGCGAACTCTTTAGCGACACTAGGAACCCGGGTCCTGAAGCATCACAGCCGAAGTCTTCTCTTCCACAAGAAAGCCTGTTCCTGTTCCGTAACAAGCTGGATTTGGTGACTGCAAGGAGTGTGACAGGTGGCAGAGAAAGCAGAGCATGGCCTTAACCAGAGTGCTGATTGAGAGGGGATCTGGAAGGAGTAGGAAGAAGGAAGAAGTAAAATAGGGGTGCACTTGTTGTGTGCTATTGGTTCGAGATCAATGAGCAGATATTATAGGACAGAGTAGAGCTGTCCCCTGTAGGGTTTCCTAGGCTGTCATTTTTATGGGAGGGAACACTGGTGATGTAATCATTCCTCTTTGGGCTGCTAACCTCAAGGTCAGTAGTTCAAAACCAGCAACCATACCACCGGAGGAATCGGGGCTTTCTACTGCAGTGAAGAGTTACAGCCTTGAAAACCCACAGATTCTACCCTGTCCTCCAGGACTGCCGGGAGGTGCAGTGGACTCTCACAGTGAGTCTGGTCTTTTTGTTTAATCGTCATGTGAGTCGGGTTCCAGATTTTTCCTGCTACAGAGCCACTGTTGAGTTTGACTTCCTGTCCTTTTACTTAGCACCCAAATGCTGCACCACTCTGCTAGCAGGATCCCGTTGGGGGTACATTAATCTCTGTTAAATCACGGATCTTTCAGTGTCAGAAACGTACACCTTAATTAAGGGGCACGCTCTTAAAATGGGGGACACACATTTAGTTTATTTTGTGTTCTAGTGCTTAACAGTACATCTCACGAGTCTAGAGTGGAGCTGAAGGTCATTACTAGTAGGAAGAGTTCATCTTGAAAAGCAAAGGAAACCACCCACCAGCTTTATCCTTCTCACTTGCTATTCACATGTTAATTTGTAAATTGTACTGCACATGGGAATGCTTCGTCCAGCACAGTATCCTGTTTATAGTGGCAGGCCACCCAGAGGGTTTCGAAGAGAAACTGCTATTCTTTCTAGTTCAGGGTCACATTGCTGCTTAGCCCCTTTTCCACTTTATTTGAAGCAAGTAAGTACGAGGTCTTTCTCCTAAAAATGCTAGGTTGTGGACCAGCTCATTGAAGCGCTGTTTTATTTCTTGATACCGCAAAACCAGATGGAGTCCCCTGCCATCTGATCAGTTCTGACTTGTGGGGAGCCCCAGTGGTGTAGTGGTTTTGCATTGGGCTACTAACTGTAAGGTCAACAGTTTGAAACTGAGGGAGAAAGACAGGGCTTTCTTCTGCAAAGGGTTGCAGTCTGGAAACCCACAGGACAGTTCTACAGGACAGAGTAGAACAGCGTCTTAGGATTTCCAAGACTTACATCTTTAAAGAAGCTAAAAGCCTCGTTTTATTGATGTATTTATTATGTGGAGTACGCGGTGGGTTTGAACTGCCAATCTTGCGGTTAATAGCCCAACACTCAATTGATTGTGCTATCAGGGATCCTCCTTATTGATCTCAAAAAACAAACTCACTCCCATCGAATTGATTCCAGTTCTACTTTATCCTGTAGGGTTGCGAAGAACCAACCACTGTGTTGTTGGTTGTTGTTGTTAGGGACTACCTAGTCGGTTCTGTCTCATGACCACTTTATATACAACAGAACAATATAACGTCTGGTCCTGTGCTGGCATCACAACAGTCCTTATGTTTGGGCCCTGGGACGCAGCGACTGTGTCAGCCCATCTCGGGGCAGACCTTCCTCTGTTTGCTGTCCCGCTACTTTACCAATCATGATAACCTTCACCAGGGCCTGGTCTCTCCCGACATGCCCACAGTATGCTAAACAAAGTCTTGCCACCCTTGCTTCGAAGGAGCAGTCTGGCTCTCCATCTTTCAAGATAGATTTGTTCATTTTGACAGTCCATGATACTGCGAAATTCAGTATTCTTTACCAGCGCCATAATTCAAATACATCAATTCTTCTTCAGTTTTCTTATTCACTGTCCAACTTTCATATGCAGATGAGGCTATCGAAAGTACCATGGCTTGCGTCAGGTGCACCTTACTCCTCAAAGGAACGGGCTTGATTTTCAACGCTTGAGAGAGGTCTTGTGCAGCATATTGACCTGACGCAATGCATCTGTTGACCTCTTGACTGCTGCTTCCAGGAGCATTGGTTGTGCATCCAAGCAACATGAAATCTTTGGCAACTTCAATCTTTTCTCAGTCGACCATGATTTTGCCAATAGGTTCAGGTGGAGGCTTTTGGTCTTCTTGACATTGAGTTGTAATCTGTACCGAAGGCTGCAATCCTTGATCTTCATCCACAAATGCTTCAAATCCTCCTCACTTTCAACAAGCAAGGTGGTGTCATGTGCAAATCCCACGTTGTTCAGAAGCCTTCCTCCAACCCTGAGGCCACACTCTTCTTCATGTGCTCCAGCTGCTCCGATTCAGGAGCTGAATCAACTTGTATTGATAAGGTCCCAGTAATCAGGATGGCATTGTGTTATCACGAACTCTAAATACTTTTCAAAACAGAAGAATATTAGGTTCTGTACATATTAAGGGCTTACTATATCAACCTACTGGATCACCTCAGTTTGTTCTTATAAAAGCCGTATGATATGGGTCTTATCACTATTTCCATTTTATAGAAGTCAAGCAAGGAACAAGGGCAGGGAGTGAATTTTCGTTTCACGGAGTGTAGAGCCTCTTGTGTTGCTACTGTGCTGAGCAGGTTTCAGCAGAGCTCAGCGGGGACACCAATGGATCACAAAGGTCTGTCTCTGTGAGTAGGAACCGAATCAACAGCAGCTCATACTGACCATCACATATTATCATTTCTCTCATCATAGATTGAGCAAAAGCCATTGGAGCCTGTCAGCTCTGTCCCTTTAGAAAGCAATTATCTTTGTATGTACATTCATTTTTCTTAAGCTCTTTGGGAATCGAAATTTTCAGGAGTGAAAAACCTAGGAGGCAGAAAAAGCATAGGCAAAGGCCAAGGTGTTTATTGTAGGGCACATAATGGTACGTGCTTCTCTGCCTCGCATGGACTTACGTACAACACATGTTGAGTAAGAGTACGCAGAGCCCACTGCCTAAACACCCATCCAAGAAGCATCACAGGGACTCTTCAAACTATGTGCTCGCCGTTATTCTTCTGCTGAACAACAAATTCTGTAACACCAGTCCCAATCGAGTGGTCCATCATAGTCAGGTGGATGGATAGCTAAGCCTGTTCATTCCAGGGAGAGAATGTTGGGAGAAAAAATGTCCATCCATGGTCTCATTGGGCAATTTGATTTTTCTCTTCAAAATACTTCTTTAAGAACAACTAAGCTACTGCGAGGCAGGTGACTGGTGGGAGTTAATCTCCCCTTTTCCTTCCACTGGGCTCTGGTCAAAATGTTAATGTTCATGGTCTGTGGAAAGACAGTGGAGATGCCCAGGGTTTGGCTGACCCATATGCATGATTGACTGGCCCCTCCAGTCTCCACGCAGTGACTGCTTGCGTGGAAGTCGCTGGCTCTTTGACTCCACAAGCCCTCTCTAAAGGTTGTCCTGAGTATGAAATGAGAGAGGGATGTGAATGTTCAGTACTTTGGAAACTACAAATCACTGGACACATGCAAATTATTAGAGAGCAGCTTCTTGCTTGGCCTTTTGACCACTCTTGGTCTCTCTGCTTGCTCCCTCAGTAGCTCTCTCTCTCATGCCGATGCCTGACAGTGAACAGCAGCGGAGAGGCTAAATTCATCCCTTTTCTTATTGATTGCATACATGTTTAAGCTACCAACAACGTTCCTTTGGTCATTATCTGTCCCCACTTTCAGAGGGATTTTAAGACATTCCCTGAGTTTTCCTCATTTATTTCATCCAACTGTGTTCACGTGAACTTTCCAAGATGGATTCCTCATTTGGTTCTCGCCTTCGCTCTCCTCTTTCGAACACTGCAGTCAGGTGACAGTTGGTGTCAACCGCTCACCAGTGGCAAGCTGAATGGCCCCACGCCTGCAACTGTGCCTTTTGCGTGGTAGATACTCAACAAGATGTATTATTAAGTCAAGAGAAATGGAAATATGGTAAATAAGGGAGTTGCAGATGGCTTCTTTCCTCTTCCAACATTAAGCATGTGTTGCTTGAATTTTGGCAAGTTCTCTCTTCAGGCAGGCGTCTTGGTGGCACAGCAGTTAAGAGTGCTTGGCTGCTAACCAAAAGGCTGGCAGTTCAAACCCACCAGCCATTCCGTGGGCTGAAGGTAAGGCTGTCTGCAGCCATAAAGATTTTACAGCCTTGGAAACCTTAGGCGACAGTGCTACTTTATCCTGTAGGGTTGCAAAGAACCAGAACTGACTCCATAGCAATAAATAGATTTGTTTCTCTGTTCTTTTTGTCCTAAATATTTGTCTTTCTAACGCAACAAAGCAAAACATAAAGTTTTCTCCGGTGGGAAAAAGGACTGGTGCTTACTTTGAAGTATTTAACAGTCTCTAGGCCTGGCATGATTACCTTTCTCTTCCTCGCCTCCCATTTTGTCACCTAAGAGCGATGGTGGGTGTGAGGCCAGGAGTCTGAAGTGAAATGTTCGAAAAGACTAGATTCTGGAATGTCCCCGGAGAATTGGCATTTGCTTCCAGATCCTCGACAGGAGGTCAGTTTATTTGTCAACTGTGTTGCTTTGCTTGCAGTAGTGGGTCTTGAGCTGAGTGAAGCCATTCCCTGGTTTGTTCAAAGGACTAATGCTTTCTCCTTCCTCTTTTTTAAGGAAATGGCAAAAATCCTCAATCACCCCAGAGTCTATGCGTTTCTGCACATACCAGTCCAGTCTGCCTCGGACAGCGTGCTCATGGACATGAAAAGAGAATACTGCGTGGCTGACTTCAAACGAGTCGTGGATTTTCTGAAAGAGAAGTAAGTCTGTTAGCACTTAAGAAAATAGCCATGTCTCTCTCTCTCTTTTAAAAAAAAAAAAAACTCTTTTAAAAGCATGTGGCAAAATAGACTCTCGCAGCCTCACAAGTAAAGGTACAAGAGAAGGGGTGAGACTTTTTCACAGCTCTCAAAGCCTGTACGTTTCCCGAGGCAGCTTTGATGTGGTTTCCCCTCCGTTGATATCCACCTTCCATCTGTGCGTGCCACACCATTAATTTGTGTAAGCCAGCCTTCCGAAGGTAATGTGGACTGTGATTATTTTCATACCTGACCCTGGGTGGATGGAAACAGTTTGAACTTTGCTCCGTCTCACATCTCCTTTCATGTGGCTTTTGGAGGCATGAGCTGGTTTTCATATTGGAGGGAGGCCACATCATGTCACCGTAAAAACAGATCATTTCTATTAAATAGCCTTTTTTTTTTTCTGTTAAGGGTGTCTGGACCATCTTTACTTTCACATACGTATTCCTGTAGTTTGCTTGGTGATTTCTAAGGAGGCCGTGGGCTTCGATTTTTTTTTTTTTCAGTTCAAATTGTTATTGACCAAAATTAAGGCGTATTTACAGAATCTCAGACATGAATGAAAATTTTGTTTCCACAGAAAACACTTGCAGCCCATAATTATGTTCTTCAAAGATCCTCCTCCTCCTCACACAACATTGATTGCCTTCTGTGATTATCCGAGGCAGGAAATGGGAGTGCTGGTCGAGGGGCGACAGACCCTCCAGTGCCTGCCGTTGCCCGCCCTCCCAGGATCTGCCAGTTATTGTTGTAGTTCTGTGGCATAGGCCTTCCTATTTTCCACAAATTTTCTGGTGTTTTTCTTAATTAAGAAACAGCTTTTTTAATTTCCATCTTCTGTTTATAATTATGTACCTTTGTACCATGTCAGAGCACTACATGGGCATGATTGCCTTGTACATATTGTAAGCAATTATTTTTCCCACTTCTAATTAGTCATTTGTGCAGGCTACTTATAATTCTTTTTTTAAACATGTTTTTTCTTCATCTGTTTACTTTCTCTTTCCTTCTTCATCTGCCTTTTGCATGGTTTTTTAATCATCCAACGCCCCTTCCCCCACCAACATTTTTAGTGACTTCTGGATTATCCTACTCCCCAGAAATAATGCAGACACGTAGTGTGCATTCAGACAAACACAGCCAGTGATGTCTTTAGGTCAGTGGATAGAAGGCACACCGAGTCTATGAATTCATAACTGTCCTGATAAAACATATGCAGCCTCCAGATAGAATCTGTGTAACAATGGAGCTCACCATCTCGACTTCTTTCAGATCTTGAACAGACCTGAAGTCAAGGCTGGAGAATAAGAATGTTCATCTTCAGTGTCTGGTGTTGTCATTTATTCCTTCTTTGCCTTTCTTCTAGCTTTTAAACTGTGTGTGTGTGTGTGTGTGTGTGTGTGTGTGTGTGTGTGTGTGTGTGTGAAAGTCTTCTCAGGCACAGTGGCACTAGTGAAATGAACTGCCTTTAGAAATTGCCAAGAAATGTGGCACCTGTAAGATGTCTTGCCTCTTTTTTCCCCTTTCTTTCTTTTTTTTAATTTAAATCATTTTATTGGGGGCTTGTACAACTTTTATCACAATCCATCCATCCATCCATTGTGGCAAGCACATTTGTACATTTGTTGCCATCATCATTCTCAAAACATTTTCTTTCCACTTGAGCTCTTGGTATCAGCACCTTGTTTTTCCCCCCTCCTTCCCTCATAAACCCTTGATAATTTAGAAATTATTATTATTTTTTCATGCCTTACCTTCTCTGATGTCTCCCTTCACCCACTTTTCTGTTGTCTGTCCCCCAGGGAGGGGGTTATATGTAGATTATTGTGATCAGTTCCTCCTTTCTCATCCACCTACCCCTTATCCTCTTGGTATTGCTACTCTTATTCTTGGTCCTAAGGGGTTTATCTGTCCTGGATTCTCTGTTTCCAACTCTGAGCTGTACCAGTGTACCTCCTCTGGTCTAACCAGATTTGTAAGGTAGAATTGGGATCATGATAGTTGGTGGGGGAGGAAGCATTTAAGAACTAGAGGAAAGTTGCATATTTCATCATTGCTACACTGCACTCTGATTGGCTCATCTCCTCCCTACAACCCTTCTGCAAGGGGATGTCCAATTTCCCGCAGATGGGCCCTGGGTCCCCACTCTGCACTCCCCCTCATTCACAGTTATGATTTTTGTTTTTGTCTTTGATACCTGATACCTGACCCCTTCGTCACC